GTGAGACTGTGCTAGCAAACATTCCAACATGCTTCCCTCGGTCCTATACACTGCCCCAGGTATCTGCTAACATCCATGGCTGGAAACAAAATATGGGACTAAATGGATCTGTCGCTTGATCAGCTCTATATCCCCCATATCAGAAGCTCATGGTTGTAACAGAAGTACTAACAAATCTTATTTCAACAAGATGAAGATGTTACTGTCTGCTCCTGCCCCCCTCTGCTATCACATAGGCTGGGGAAACCTCTCATTTGCTTCAGTGCAAGGGCAGGTTGGGTTGGCTTCAGCCACCGGAAGACAGGGCTGTGGATAGGGCAATGAAGGGTAAGATGCAGATGGCCACTGAGGTGTGTTCAATCACTCCTGCACCACCAAAAAGGGCATGTATGCCTGTGGTCTATGTCAGAGAGAAACCAATGCACTTCAAGTAATGGCCAATAAACTAAACACGAAAAAGAGATTTTCTATCAATCCAGGTACTATGTACTTTTAAAAAAATAAATTATTATTATAATTAAATATAATATTATACATTTTACATCTATTATATATATTATATTATCTATAATAATATTATTTTATTTAGTTATAAATTATTAATTCAAATAAATAAACCCAAGGGGCTGATAGGTTAATTGCTGCTCACTCCTCATCCACACACATTGAGTTACCTTCCATGTGCAGGGAAAGACAGGTATTGGAGCCTATCTTATTCAGTCACCCCATACTCAGCTTCACTTATTTCTTCTTAGTCTTGCTAGCTTAGAAACAATATCATTAGCTTAACTCTCTCCTCCTGAGAAAGGACCAAAGATGGAGATGGCCCCGTTTGAAAGGCAAAAGCTGAACATCATTGTCATTTTAATTAATATCCTGCAGAGACACCACGAAAAGCAAATAAAAAGGGAGGAAGGAAAATAAAAATCAAAACAAAATTAGGTCAATCCTCTTTCCCGAGGGATCTTCTGCAGTCAGCCCAAGGACCCTCTGCTCCCCACATCTCACACTGCACTTCCACCCTCCTGCCGTGGGGGAACAGACAGCCTTGGAAGGGGCAGAACTCAGTCCTGTTGTACAACACCAGTAATCTGACACTGTCTATAAAGAGATTATCTCCGATCCCTCTCTCCTCCCTCCCCCTATACATAAGAAACCCTTTTCAAGGCTAGTGCTGGTTCACTTCTACCCAGGGAAGCTTATGCTACTGAAAAATGTGCACTTTTTTTCTCCCCCGTGTTATTTCTGTTTCTGGGTGTTTCCCATTTTCCTCATTCTTATGCTTTTCCCTCCTGGCATTAATAACATGTAGAATGATTTCAGATGCTGGTCTAAGCGTGTGTTTCAGAGGCACAGCTTTCGACAGAAAACATCATCTCTCTGACACAGGGAGCTGGAGAGGACATCTGTAATCCTGCTCAGCCCTCCCATAGCCACAGGGACCACCAGCATTCCTTGCAAAGCCACCAGGTTCACCATCCCATCAGCCTGTGGATGCTAACAGGCACTTAATTGTGGTGATGGGCAGAAGGGAAGAGGGTAAGAGGGTAAACGGTAGGCAGTTTTTATATGGTAACAGAGAAGGACCGTGTTTAAGGACACTGGCACATGTGATGTGCCTCAGACAACAGTGTCAGATGCTCCAGGGAGAGATGGGCAAGAAATACAACCACAAGACAGCATTAAGAAAACACTAGGATAAGGTAGGGTAAGTGAAGCTTCATATGAAGAAAGTCCCTTGTAGGACAGAAGAGAAGATAGGAATGGACTAGTTAAGGTTTATAAAGTAATTACATGTCTCTTAATCAATGATACTGCTTTCCCATGAATGCTACCAGGGATTTTGACACTGCATGTTGCTGTTTGTTGCTGGAGCTGCGTCCTGCTGGGGTGAAAGCTTAGTGCAGAGGCCTCACCACAGGCTGGTCCTGGCCTCAAGCATGCAGGTTATCCCAGCCCAACTTGAGCAGCTCTGCTGCAACCTCCTACCTACATTACCTGTTACTGCTGGCAAGCTCCCTCCTGTGTATTACAGAACCTTGCTGGCACAAGCAGGGTGGGCATTTGTGGGTGGTTTTTGCTACAGTGATGCTGCTTCACAAGGAATGTGAGAAAACTCATCTATCCTTCCAGACACAGACAGTTTAATGGGAAAGCGCATTTGGGTTACGTCTTAGCAGTACAGTGAGGGGCTCGTCACACCAAATAGCACAGAATTAAAGACTTCTACTTGCAAACCTGACTGGATCAGCTAGTTTAGCATTCAGATTTCATGAACACTGGGAAGAAGAGTTTGGGTGCTAATGGAAATGGTTAGAGACATCATTTGAGAAAGACTCAAAGTTAACTTGGCTGCAAAGACACTTCCTAAACTTCCTACTATCCCAAACATAAGGAAACACACACTTTACACAGAAACCTGCTCAAATCTTCAAGGTCTTATTTTCATAGAGTGAACATGTGTAACTCCACAGTCAACAAGAAAACACTTGTGTGGGTACAAAGGCTCTAAACTTTTAACCTTACACTGACATGTTGCTCTGTATATTTTTACATACCTGAGCCTCTTTTTAACCGTCTTCTTGCAAGTTTAATTTGATCCTGAAGAATCTGGACCCAGTCCCTAGGACCAGGCAGTTTATCCACATGGTTAGCAGTGCAGTATTTTTCTGTAAAGACTGAAATAAAAAGATACCATTTTTTTTGAAGCGTTCCACCAGGATGGACAAAAGGAGACTGGAGAGGATTTGAAACAAAATACATCAAATTAACCACTCATCAAAAAGCATTTAAATGGCCAAATCTGGGATTGAAAGAATCAAGTCCAACTCAGCGTTTCATGAGTTCATCATTCAGATGGCATTTGTGTGTATAAATATCACAATACCATAGTTACTCCTTACAAAAGCCTATTCCAGAGAAACAGTCTACACCTGAGCTCTTCCATTCATGAGTTTCACACAAAACCATCATAGAAGAATAGCAGTGTACTTTGAAAAGAGTCTCCAGATGCGGCAGGCACTTGTAAATGCTGCCTCCCAGATGGTACAAGGAGAGAGTTGAAGATCTGCTCATTCAGTGGCTTCTTGGTCACGTTCCTAAGGCTTCAGGCAAACAGATGACAGATAGAAAACCTACCTCTGTGCAAACCTTTACAGTTTTCATACTGCCAAACTAACAGAATTTTTATAAAGCTACTAAAAAAGCCTTTTCTGGGAAAAAAAGAAGTAACCTATAGGTCCAACGTCATATTTGGTTGAAAAGATAAACAGGGGCTAAACATTATAGAATCATAGAATGGTTTGGTTTGGAAAGGACCTTAAGATCATCCCGTTCCAACCCTGCTGCCACGGGCAGGGACACCTCATACTAAACATGTCACCCAAGGCTCTGTCCAGCCTGGCCTTGAACACTGCCAGGGATGGAGCATTTACCACTTCTTTGGGCAACCTGTGCCAGTGCCTCACAACCCTCACAGTAAAGAACTTCTTCCTTATATCTAACCTGACCTTCCCCTGTTTAAGTCTGAACCCATTATCTTTAATTCCATATTTATGGCAGCTTCAGCAATGTTATACCCAAAATACAGGATTATAAATGGAGTGAAACTGATGCAATTGATTTTCATCATACAACTGAGAGGTATGCAAAAACTATATAAGAGCAGAAATAGAAAAATAATGCATTATTTCTGTTGGCATTACTATTGTAGTCCTGATCAGAGGTCTCAGAGCCCACTGTCCCATTATGGCTAGGAAACAAAGACAGAAAAGTGGTCCCAGATGAAGGAATGTGTAAACCTTGAGGATGAATGTCACACAAATGGGATGGGGAAGCATGAAACAATAAAAAAAGACAATTTCAGTATTTTACACACACCCTCTGAAGCAGTGCCAGCTGGTCAGTGTAAGGGGACTGAAAGTAATCCCACCCTCCAAACTCTGTGCATGTTAACAGCTTCACAAAACTACTGCATGAAAGGCAATAGCAATACTTTCCTCTGTAGACTGATTAGCAAGGATGTTAGACCAAATGTGAGGGCTTCCACAGAAGTCAATGCAGTTCCACACATTGCCAGTGTCTGATTTGCAACAACTATGGTCTCTCTGAAAGCAGAAATAATGCTTCCCTTCTGAATGCATATGGTACCTGACACAACAGGAACCTGATCAAGACTCCTACTCACTTCAGACATGCAACTGCAGTTCCTGCTTGTGACCAGGGCATGAAGACAATCTGTGACACTAGGCTGTACCTAGTGCTGCAAGCGCCTACAGTGGGAATTACAAATACTGCCCACTGTTGCCTGCATAGGAGGCCAGAGCCTGGCCACGTTGGAGAGCCAATGTGTTAACTTGCTTCTCTAACTTGCTTCTTCTTTGGAATGAAAGTCGAAATAGTGCTTAGTATGTGGTTAGGAAAACACCAAGGTAGGCAAAAAGGAATGGGAATGCACTAGGAAGAAGGCAGGTGAAGTGGGACCTCCACCTTCTAGTCCACCTGAACTAACAACCCCTCTTATCCGACCCCCTGCCACAGGCAGGGACACCTTCCACTAAAGCAGGCTGCTCTCAACCCATTCATCCCCCCATCTGCATTGATACTGGGGAATGTCCCAGCCCAGCAGTAGGACCTTGCACCTGGCCTATGGAACTTCAGGTTCACATTATGTGCACTCCTGAAGCCTGTTGAGGTAACTCTGAATGGCATCCCTTCATTCTAGCAAATCAACTGTACCACTCAGCTTGGTGTCATCTGCAAACTTGCTGAAGGTGCACTAGAAACCACTGTCTCTGTCCCTGACGAAGCCACTAAATCGTACTGGTCCCAGTATGGATCCCTGAGGGTCCCATCACACTTATATTTGAACACAGCTTACTGAGTTCTGCAGCGAGCGACTTCACTGCCTGGATTTCCAGTCAACCACATAAAGGAAAAATAACAGCTTCTGATATTCCTTTTTCATCTTCCTCCCCCCCCCCCCCCCCAGTTCCAAGTGAAAGACTGATGCAACTCACAAGGGGACCTGACTGCCTGGGAGAAACACTGCAACTGATTCAACAGGTGCCACTGCATCCCCAAGGTCAGAAGAGGATTTCTCCCTGGCTAATCATCCTGTTGCAGGAGCCTTAAATTACTTGTAAGGACAGCAGTTAAAATGTTTTCAGACAGGAAGAGTGATGTCCAAGCAAACAGATCTCTCCTTTAAGTTCTCTGCTAGGTTTTGGCATGAATATAGCCTTTTGTATTGCTGTCACGGAAAAGGACTTAAAGTGCCACTAAAAGAGATCTGGGCACGTGGTAGAGGAATGTCCTAATGATAATAATGTAAACAAGATAATGTTGTTCTTGTGGAGATTTCATACTGGCTCAGTTATTTATTGGAATAAATGAAACCACAGTGTCCTATAGCCCAGCTCTTGTGAGGGAAAATGGGTTCTATTGGAACCAGGCTGAGGAGAGACCCACAGGACATCAGCCCTTGGCATCTTATTCCATCACAGATTGCAGGGATGAGCTCTCCTGTCAGGAATCAGGCACTAGCACTTGGGCAATACTGTAAATACCAATAAGGATCACTGTTACTAAAGTGGTACCCAGTAGTACCATCAGAGATGAAATTTATCTGTTGGAACTATAACTCCCCCCTTTCTTCTCCCAAACTCAAGGGAAGAGGTTAAACCAAGCCTCAGAACTTGCTCCATTAAAAGCTTAGCTCCTGAGAAACATTGATGTCCGCAGTGGGTGATGATGCTATTTTAATAGTGCTGCTGCATCTACTGAAAAACATTGCTTTTATCACAGTACTGCTCAAATTAGAGTTTGTTGGGGTTTTTTTCCTAAGTAATTTTGAACTCCTTTTCCTTCCATTTAACTTATTTATGAAAGCTTTTAAGGAAGAATGAGATACAGACAGAGGAAATTCACCTTCAGATTTCTGAAGATTACTGAGCTCAAGAAAGGAAAGTATAAGAAAGTGTTTGTGATTTAAACCTAATGATAACTGTAAGAAAGTCTGTCAGCAACTCTGTGTTAGGACTATGACATAGCCACAATATAGACTTTATCACACAACTGCACAAATTGACAGGATTGTCTGGTGGTCTCCATGTCCAGCCTGCTGCTCAGAGTGTGGCCAACTAGATCATGATGCTCTGGACTTGGAATATTTCCAAGGATGGAGATCCTGCAGCCCTGTTCAACCACCCTTATGCTGAAAAAGCTTTTCCTCGTATCATGTGGAAAATTTCCATGTGTCCAATGCTTCTTGTGCCTCTGAGAAGAGTCTGACTCCATCTTCTCTACACGATCTATCATCTTCTTTAGGTAGTTTTGGACAGCTGTAAAATTCCTCCTGAATCATCATCTCTTCCAGTTCCCTCTGCCTTTCCTCACACTTCACATAGGTAAGTACTTCATGACTTAGCTGCTTCAATACCATAAGTCTTGGTGGCTCTCCACTGGACTCAAGCCAGTACATCAGTGTCTTTCTTGCATGGTGAGACGGGGCCACAGAGGTGGTTACAAAAGGTTCGTTGCCTCCTTTAGCTGTCAATTGACTTACTAAAGATCTTCTCATTGCTAAGGCAATCCTAAATTGGTAATCTGTATGTCAGGGCAAGTCACAGCCTGTCTTTTGATAACTTGGGTATTTTCCCTGCTATCTATCTCAGATTTCAACAACAGAATCCAGTTCAGAACCTTTGGCCTAATACTAGTTCTTTGTATGTTGTGATCGGAGAGTTTGAAGGTACATGTGTTTTTCTGGCAGTGAGAAACTCTGACTGCTAAGAACGCCACCCAGCACAGGGTCCTCACACTGACTTAGGAAATCTGCTTCTACAAGAGAAGGACCACCACCATTCTTATAAGCATCAAACTCATCTCAGTCCCAGTGTTATCTTCCTCCATCTCTCCCCAATCCAGCCATCAACAGCTCAACTATTTACAGAGCAGACACAATCAGATGCAGTGCAAGCCTCAGAGTTTTGGCTGAAGATGATCAGTTACACTGTCATTATGTTTTCAAGAGTTCTTTGCATCTCTGCTATCCGAAAAAGAAAAATGATTACCTTATAGGAACATTGAGTTTCCAGCCTTAGAGCCTGACTTCACAAACTGGGATCACTGGCTTAAAATTAACACAAGCTCTCCCCGTAGAAGCTATTTTTAACAAGTGAATGAAAGGGAACAAAAATAAGACTGCATATTTTAATAGATTTAACACACATCAGAAATTCTAATCCCCTTACACTCTCTGTAGCTGAGAATATGTTCTAATTCCACATATGAAAGAAAGCAAAACCCATACCTTTTATTGCACCCACAATATTTTGGTCTAGTCCTTTCCGGTTGTCATTGAGCCCTCTTTTCCTTTTGCCGTTTGGTAAAGAGTTAGCCAAAGTCTTGTCATCAAAAAATGCACAGACCAGCTTCCTAAAGAGCAGACTTCCTGAGCGAGTATAGTTTGATAATATAGAGTCCAGCTGAGATTTCGGCATGAAGACGTCAAAGCCTTCTGCAAGTTGCACTTCTGGCTACCGAAAGAATACAAATGTTTTAATTAAAGGAGCATTCAAAGACGTTATTTTACTTCAATCATGCACTGGTGAGACTTCACAATCACTTAATCAAACCCTGAAGCTTTTGCCAACTATTCAGTACCACAGCAGCCTACTTCATTGAAATCAAACCCCATCAGTGAATAAGCACCTTAAAAGGCAAATCAAATAATCATACTCCTGTCTGCCCACTGTAATAGGTGACAATTACTGACATTATTTCTAAGCGTGCAGCTAACAAAAAGAACAGAGATACCTTTCAATATTGGATAATAATGACAAACCAGAGGATCATCCCAGAGCAATATTCCCATGCAATGATTTTTGGATATTTATCTAACCATTTTATGGACTTGTTTCACTGCCAAATGATGGGAACAAGTGGGCTGTGGGGCAGCCAGGCACCTCCAAGAAGCACAAATGCAGGGTTACTGACTGTTCCACGTGGGCTTCCAGCACAGATACAGCCCATAGGAGTAGACGATGAGTTTGAAGGTTGCTTTTGGAGTCAGCATCTGCTGATCATCCATGTTTCCCTCCTTTCCACATTCCCAAAATGCAACCTTAGAAAAGAATGATGTCAGGTAGGCAGCTTATTTCAGCACAGTGGGAAATCACAGGGATTTACACAACCACTAGAAAATGAGATGGAAGGGACGAAGAGGAAACAAAACCATCCTGTATTTCACAAGAGTCTCAAGTGCATTGTGGGCCAAAGCAGACCAAGTCCTTCAAGGAAGTCCCCTTATTAAGAGTCTTTTTGCTGCCCCTGTCTGTACATACCAGAAACTACACAATCAATATTTGCAGTATTTTCTTCTGTGACTACACAAGTTGTCTGTATGAAGTAATTATGTATCTAGAATGGAGATACATCATGAATAAACTACACTTTTTAAGGTATTATGTGGAAGTTGGGGGCGACAGGGTAACAGTGGTCATGATGTGAGGAAATAAGCTTGCTCCTAGTAACCTGCTCTTTTTTCCCCCTTCATGAAAATATATCCATCAGTGGTGGTGTGTTGTCAAAGCTGTTTACAGAGCAAGAGCAAATGCCATCTCCCATCAAATCACCTGCAAATGTCTTGAGTCTAGACAGAAGAAAGGGCTGCCAATCTCTGGAGGATTTGGCTGTGTAACTCTTTTCCCATGGATGTTTAAAACCCAGTATCAAGAGAGTTACAGCAAGCAGCATATTTTCAAAGCATGTTCTATGACTGGCTATGATTCTATGATATGCATGTGTATTTTGCAATAAAACTAGAGATTACAATGCTTTGGGAAGCCAGGATGAAGGATTTTAAAATATTCAGATAGCAATTAGAATCTAAAAAGCGTATTTCTCAGCTTCTTCTAGTTGAGAACATTCAAAATGCTGGATCCAGCAAAACAGTCAGAGTTACTCTATTTGACATTTGACAGTCTTCTGATGTAGGTGGGTTTTTAACATATTACTTCTGAAGTTGCTAGTGACAGGAACGATTTTCAGAAGTAAAAAACATGGGCTAAGTTTACAACTTGGGAAAGATTCTACTTCACAGTAATCAAAACAAAGAATGTAGTTGTCATGGTGATGAAGGTACCCTGTCCTATTCTGCTATTTGGGTCTTGGGTCTCATGATAGCGATCTAAGACAACCTCCATTGTACAAGATGCCTTGGGCAGAAAAACCATCTTCACTAGTCATAGAAACACAGAATCATAGAATTGTTTATGTTTAAAAGACCTTTAAGTCCAACCATTAATGCAACATTGCTAAGTCCATGTCCCTGAGCACCACATCTACACGTCTTTTAAACACCTCCAGGGACAGTGACTCCACCACTGCCCTGGGCAGCTTGTTCCAATGCCTGACTACCCTTGCAGTGAAGAAATTCTTCCTCATCTCCAATCTAAACCTCCCCATGTGCACCTTGAGGCCATTTCCTCTTGTCCCATCCCTTGTTCCTTGGGAGAAGAGACTGAACCCACCTTGCCCCATCCTCCTCTCAGGCAGTTGTAGGGAGCGACAAAGTCCCCCCCGAGCCTTCTCTTCTCCAGACTGAACACCCCAGATCCCTCAGCCGTTCCCCATCACACTTGTGCTCCAGGCCCTGCACCAGCTCCGTTGCCCTTCTCTGGCCCTGCTCCAGCACCTCAATGTCTCTCTTGTAGTGAGGGGCCCAGAAATGATCACAGGATTCGAGGTGCAGCTTCACCAGTGCCCAGTGCAGGGGCACAATCACTGCCCTGGCCCTGCTACCACACTGGTGCTGATACAACCACTACAAGCCAATTACCACTGTGGTAACTTTTCTGACACCTCCTGCTTAAAACCCCAAAGCCAGGAGGATCATGAGGCCCTGCCCTCATGGTCTGTATTTTGCCATTATGCTCCATGGGAGATTTCCTTCCTCCCTGAGCTCACCTTAGGAGATCTGTGTTATGCTTTGAAGAGGTATAACCCCCCACTAATACAACTGTAAGATACACTTCAGACCTTTCCAATGAACCAGCATGGAGGAGTTAGTATTATTTCAGCTTTGACTATTTTGTTCTTAATATAGGAATCAATTTATATATCAGTGAAATAATTTGAAGGCAAAACACTGATTTATTCATATTTCCTTTAGTAGTAAACTGTTTTTCAGTCAAAGACCTAACTGAACTTTATGATCACTTTGAATGCAATTTCTCAAAAGAAAAAGCATTTGTTAGCAGATAATGATCATGGCATAAGGAACTGGTGGGTGAACTATTCATGTATAATAAAATAAATAAGACCTGAATGCCAAAGGCTTTTGCTGTGCTAAAATTAACAGGCAGTGAATTAGATTTAATACTAGACATTTTAGTAGGTTGTACTACCTAGATTAGAAACGATTAGGTTGTAAGTGAAATACTATAACAGTAAAACAAACACGAGAAAGTTTAAGTAAGAATAACAGATTATTACATCTAAAAAGCAGGTTCTATGATTCACGGCCCAGATCAAGAGTTGATCTCACAAAGACTTTTTACACCTCTGTAAGTAGCAGTATTTCATCTCAGCATCTGAACCGGTTGCTTTGGTTTCAGTAGCCTCAATTTTATACCCGTTAAACAGAGATTTTTCTTAAAGTTCAATAAATGTTTTCAAAACAACAGCAGTGCCAGTGCTGGCATATGACACAGCACACACTAGAGACAACCCATGCAATATTCTCAAGGGAACATTTAGTTACGGTGCTGTGTAAAATGTCTTTCATTTTTTTTTCAGGCACACTGGTCCTGAGCACGCTAGAGATGCCTCTGAATAAATAGGAAAAGATAATACTGCCATTCATTGTGAAAGAAGAAGTGACTTTCTTCAGCCTTCTCTCAATGTTTAAGGTCACATTTTATTTTCGCTGTTAAATACATCTATTTTCAGAACTCAACTGTTTTCTTTCCAAAGATGAAACAAAATCAATTTGTTTGTCTCGGGCTTCTGGCTCTGTAAATTCAGTCAAACAACTACTGTGGCAAGCAGGGGCCAAAGCATGGGAGGGCAGATGAGGACCTGATTTATGAGCCACATGTTTTCTCTTCTTTTTTTTTATCTTAGGTCAAATTGGCACCTTCAAAGAATTGTGTCCAGCGATAGAAAACATTCATAAAGCCAAATTACATTCCATTGCAAGCACAAAACTCTTTTCAAACCCATGTTTCAAGCTGAAAAGAGTGCCACAAGCAAGGAAAAATTAGAAGCACAAATTGTGTACTGGAGATAAATTACCAGTCCCTCCCCCGACCATTCTCTCAAACATTATGAAGCATGATACTACAAAAGGAAAACCTCTGAAAAAGCCTCAAACTAGTTACTCGGTATCACTACAAAGACTATGGCATGAGACTGCAATCTAATTAGTGGTGTGGTTTGTATCTGTGTAACTGAATTAGCATGACTGCTCTTTTTCATTATTAGTTCCCTTTTCCAGAAAGGTAGAATATTATCTGCTGCGTTGTTTTCATTTACGCTTATTGGTAATGAATTTAATTACGTTTTTCTAGCTCATTGTACTTGGGAAATTGGAAACTGCTTGCTCAAAATTAAAAATATATTAGAGAAATTAACGATCAGCTTACTCAATCAGTGAACTGGTTCAGATGGCATCTCTTTGGCCATTAAACAAAGCCAATCAGCCACCGGATACATGAAATTTCTATCAATGTGTATGTATTATATGAACCAAGAGAATACGCTTATTGCAATTTTACATGTAAAAGATACATATTTTTTTAGATGGGCAAATGTTGGACCCTTTAATCAGAATGACATCACCAACAAAGTCAAGGCCCTCGTCCAGCATCCACAGTGATGAAGACCAAATAACTGTATTGAGCAAAGGCTGGAGTATGAACTTTATAGAGGTGAGGAATGCCCTGAAGCCAGTGGGACCAGCCAGGCATGAGACACAGCACATAAATACACCTTGGCAGGATAAAGGCATACATGTAGACTACATGCACTCATCAGCAAATGACAGCGCTGTGAACGGTTTATACACAAAGCACTTTTCACAGCTCTGATCTCATGGTGGCTCTTGGTATTAAGAGGCATGAAGAACAAGTTTCAACTGTAAGCTCAAACAACAGGCAGCCTTGAACTCAAGGGAGAACTACACACTCATGAAAGCAGAAAAACAAACCCCAAACCTTTGTAATCAGCACTTCCCAAGTCAAACCCTACTGTCTAACCCTACCCAAGATTTGCTTGTTTAACAAAAAGCAGGAACATCAACCTGCCTTGAGTACTCATTCTCCTGAATGAGTTTCAAAATCCTGTGATCCCACTTATTAAAATATTAACTTACATCTGATGAAGCTGATTCAAGGATAATGCCAAATCCTGAAACAGGGGTTTCTGGTTTTAAGGGGGTTTCAACTGCTTGTAGACTCGATCGTTCTGAGTTTGTTGATAGTTTCTTTTCGTTCTCTGCAGGGTTGGGTTTCTTATTCATGGTAATTGGTTCAACAGTTTTGAGGGGCAGTTTTTTCTTTTTATTTCTCTTTCTTGATATTGTTGACTTCTGTGCACAAATCAGAGGAGCAGGAGGCTGCTGTCTGTTTTGAGTCCCAACTGAATGAAAGAAAGCAACGAATTAAACTTACAGGCAAAAGCACATGTACAAGCACACAGATACATCATTAAACTACTGACATACTGAACTTATCCTCTGGGTATGTGGTATGGTTTTCAGGGCTGTTTGTGCATGTGAAACAGTTACATTTTATCACCTTTGCGTAATTTTCCAATCTGTACAATGGGGAAAATGACACTGAGCTCCACTGTGAGGTTTTCCAAGACACACTGATGAATAGCACATTAGGAAAACTAGGAATATGTAGTTCTTTTTCCTAGTGACCAACCTAGGGGTGGTGACACAAAGGGCTTGACCAATGATTAATTTGTGTACCTTGCTGAATGACTGAGAATCTCACTGTCTTTGAGCATCTTTTCCTGATAACGTCAGATAATATAAGTGCTAATGCAATTATTTTTCTGAACGGTTACCAAGTTAATTAGCTTAGCAAGAACATTTCAAGTACCATTATGTCAAGAACAAGTGAAAACACTATTAAATAGTTTAATTTCTAGGGAAAAAAGTAACCCAAAGTTGCATCAGTTTGTTTCACTCAGACACAGAAACTGACAGGTCATGTGCTACCTCTGCAATCTAATGAGACCAGACTTATTTATCAGTATCTTGCATTTTCCACAATCATTTGTACAAATGAAGGCATCAATCCTGAACCAGTACCAACGCAAACAAGTCCACCAGCAGAATGATCTGCAGATACAATTATATATCTGGATGAATCAGGAAAATGGAGGTCAGAACAAAAATGGCCAAAAGTGCTACCCATGCTAATCAAACTCACTCGACTCACTCGAGCTAGGAGTGAACTACAAATAATCCTCATCTATAAAGCTTGAGGAGAAACCCAACCCTTGGAATACTGTTTATTAAAAGATTTCTGGGATATTTCATTTCTGGCAAGGATTTACAAGACTGTAATTTGTAGTTTATCATTTAGATAGAAGGGTGTTTGAATACTAAAATAAGTGATTACACTTTCACTTACATGTTCTTTTTTGCTTTTAACAACACATGTGCCAAACAGTGTTTTTCTCTCTACAAAACCATCATTTCATGCCTACCAGAAAATATGAATCAAGAGATCCACAAATTAACAAGGTATTTACACTCTAGCTACATAATAAATAAGAAATGTTCCTGCTATTGAGGAGCCAGCTTTTCTGGCATAACCCCCAGTTCTGTACCTCTCACCCATACGCTATTTTTAATCATGCTCATAATTTCAATGAAATCAGTGCAACTGTGTAAAGAATTCCCTGTCCCAGCAAAGATTGCAAAACCTGTGCTTCTTTGCAAATCAGTGACTTCTAAAAGAGCATTTTTACTCATGTCAACTGATACTACAAAACCTGTCTGATCCTTCCTGTCACTCACTGAAACACGAAACACCATGTAGACAAGGAGTTTAGTCAGCCCTTCACTCCACCCACCTGCAGTTAATTGCTCAACACTCCCTTTTCTTAGAGGTCATATCCAGCACTCTAAGAGAAAAACCTCCACGGCTCCACTCCGCATCACTCACATCGGAAATCTCCAGTATCTCCAATTCTCATCAGCATTAACACTAATGTTTAGGAAGCCTGTGATGACCTACCTAACTCTTAGCTGCCATACTCTTGTTATCTTGTTGTCTCTAGTGCTCTGTGCTGTTCTGTTTCAGCTCCTAATCTAGCAGAAAACTTGGACTCAATAGTTTTTCCCAATGAACACATTATTGCTGGTTCAGCCAGTAGAAGGAACTGGTAAACCAGCCTGAAGAAGGGTGGATGCCACAACATGCAGCAGCTAGCTCAGTTGAGGCTACCACTGAGCTGTAACTTGAAAGAACTTTGAAGTGTTATACAATAACTTTAAGTGGCCTTCCAAGTTTCTTTCCTTACCTTAAGATTAATGAACTGGTAAGCAGCTAACAGGTAAAGTAGCATTTTGCACCTCTGTACAAATACACCCTGAGAACAAACTGGGGATAGTTGTAGCATATAGATGTACCCACCCAGTTTCCATTAGGAATAAATTTATTCTCATTAGGAATAAATCACATTACATTTATTTATTTATTTTAGCCTTAAAAGATTCCTACAGGTAACATCCCATGTTATAGGTAAGGATCTGAGAAGTAAAAATGACATTTCCAAGAAGCTTGTGAAAATTTGACTTTGAACAATGTGTCAAGAGAGCAGGAAACAGCTCAGGTTTTCCTGAGTTTACATAAAGTTCTGTCTTACTAGACCATTCCTCCTAACAAGAAGATCATGGAATCATAGAACAGTTTGGGCTGGAAAGGACCTCCAAAGATCATCTAGTCCAAGTCCCTTGCAATGAGCAGGGTCATCTTCATTTGAAATGCTTGTCATGGATAGGCACGTCTGGGACCGGCCACTGTACCTGCTTGAATCTGAATCAATTTTCGCATGGTCTTGAGCTCCTGAAGGATAGCCTGCAGGGTTGACTGGCAATTACATGTACAGCAGTTTGGTCCAATTGATGAATTCATCATTGGGATTTCTCCTGAAAGAAAGTGGAAAGAAATGGGGGAGAGAGGATGTAACCCACAAAAACCACCCAAACAATGAGCAGGCATTTGAAACTATTAGCAATACAACAGATCATGGAATTAGATCCAAAGCAAGAAGCAAATGATTTTCAACATGGTGCCTTTTAAGAGGAAGGGACCACTAGTTTTTATCCAATTACTAATATGTGCAATTATATACAGTAGGGAATGCAATGTTACATGGGCTGAAGAAGACTGAGCATGAATACAATGCACTCTTCACAGCAGGGCTGTCTATTGTCAGGCTAGTTCATCTTGAATAACAGTAGCACCAAACCTCATTATAAATATACTCACTTTATCACACACACACAAAAAAGCCCATCTCCCAGAACAGCCTTACAAAGAATGAAGACAGACAGCATAATAAAGGTTTACACTGTACATTAAATGAGGGCCTAAGAATTTTAAACTGCTTGAACGTTACATGTGATACTTTATCATGTGAAGAATTGAGAATGAAAATGAAACACCCTATTCCAAGGGAAAAATACCCACAAAAAACCCAAACAACACCTTCTCAAAACAAACAGGCTGGAAAAGAATCACAGCAAGAAAACCTTTCAAATCTGCTTTTCTCCTTCCTAGGCTGGGATTGTTTTCTATGTCACATTTTCCAGCACTGTGACCTACAAGATGGGCTTTCCATAGTTTCCTTTTGAAAATGAATAGATTCAACAGGTACTTCTTTTCCAGTAATTCTTACAGTGTTTATCTGAATTTACATACTTCTATTTCTAGCCCTTAGCAATGCTTTTATTACTGCCTTGCTTTCCAGAAGCTTTGCATTGGAGGTCCTGAATTAGGACAGGCTGTAACAGCTGGGAGATTTCAAGCTTTACCTGAACAGTTATATCCTGCATGTTAGTTTAAAATAGTTATATCCTTAGCTTTACTGCTGCAAATAAAACATTCAATATTCCACAGAACACCTAGCAGTATCTGCTTGAATCTGAGGCCAGTTGGGATGCACCCCCCTTCATTTCAAAACATGCTTACAGTCATTTACATTGATGGCTGTTTTACTGCTCATCAAAGCATGCAAGAGGGATGATCATTTTATGAAGATAGGTACAAATGAATCTAACAAAAATCATCTTGCTTGGTGTCTCATGTGGTGGACTTCAGAGTGTATTTCCCTTTTTTCCCCATAGCTGACACTTATCAGGTACCCTTTAATCATTACCTAGCTAAATTTAATACCAGGCAACTCATTTAATCTTCGTTCATAAATCCTCCCATTTTTCATTTGCTTTCCTCTGAAGCCAAACCAGTTTATTAATACCTTTTTAGGTCTGGTCTGTGTTCTTTCTGATGTCACACCCACACAGATCCCCTGACTTCAAACCCCATTTGAAATGGATGAAATATGGCCACTGCTAAATTGCTCAGACTCTTTCCTAGTTCTTCCAGTGTCATTCCTCCATCCTCAAATCTCTCTTCCCAGGCACACGTTTTCTATCTCTTTCCATTCAGTCCTTCAGCTTTGAAGCAACATCTATCAGACTTGAGCAAACTGGTGGTCGTTCTCCCAAAAGTAAGCTACTTGTGAAGCCAAACTCATGCATTACTTAAAGACTATTGGCATCTTCTGGGTGTCTCCTCCTTTCCTGACAGATTTAGACTGTCCACACTACTACAATTACATATTTTGGTATTTTAAAACAGCACCCATGGACAAAACCTGTTAATACTGCACTAAGATAAACAGAGTAGTTTAAGAATCTCTGCAAGTCTAGCAAATACGAATACAATAGTTCCATCTGCGGCTTTTCACCAAGGTTTCAGCTGTAAATAAAACAACTTTTTCAAAGTAAAAAGTGATCTGGAAAACAGGCTGAGTCTCAAATTAAAACAAAAAGAGGTTACTGACTCAGCAGGACTCTGCCCTGTTTGATCTCACCCTTCCTTTGTGCACTGTCTATTCACTGTAAGTTCCTTGGGGCATGGATGGGATTTTATCTTTCCAATGGTCCATAAAGTTCAGCCCATTGTTACAGGTACAGAGGGAAACAAAATATATGTTATCTTTAGCTTTGCAGCAGGTTACTCAGAATCCCTCAACTTGGCTCCACCAACACCCTTTACCCTAAAGGGTAAGGCAGACTTTAAGGGTTAAAGGGAGGGCAGACTTTAAGGTAGGGGTTAAGGGTGTTAAAGGTAGACTTTTAGATAGATGAGGTTCAAGGCTACTTGGAATTTAACAGCATCAGCATAACCCTTTACCTGTCAGTAAGACAAACAGGCACCCCATAAATGGGGTCCTAGGAAATTAGGAGAGTTTTATTAATAGAAGACAAAGACACAGTAAAAACAGCCTTTCTCCAGTGTTTTTTCAATTGGTTTAAACTAGTAAGATCCTCAGGATAAAGCCTGTTCTCTCTCTTGATCAGAATCCAATATTCTAGTGGGCTTTTGGAAATGCTATCTGAAAGACTACAGCAGGAGACAGGGCTGGTGGGCTTCTGTTTCCTTCTTAATGAAGACTTCACATAGTGCTGAAGTGCATCTGAAAACTCAGACAAGTTATATCAGTAAATACCTGTACATCTTTCCTGTTGCAATACAACATGTTCCTAATGAAAGTACGCAGTCACGCAGGCTCCTGATGGAAAACCAAAGGGTCTGTTTTCCCATTGAGACATAGGGGATTTACATTATAATCCCCATTAGCATTGATAGAAATTACCCATGTAAATCTACCACAGGTACTGGAAATGGGAAAAGAGACCACCAGTATTTCATATCAAAGCAGGATTCTACTGACTTCATACATATTCATGAGGGTTTTTTATTTTCTTTCTAGCCTCCCTCCTCTGATCAGTTATTGTGTTATAAGAAACATCTTGTAGAGTGTTCTCAGTCATTGTTCCAAGCACTACCTTTATCATTTTTAGAGGACAAAAGCAACCCTTTTCAACTTGTTATAAATCATTTTTTAATTTTAAAAGGAGAACAGACTTTTTATTTTTATGAAGGAGTCTTTAAAGAGCCATCTCCCTCTCTTTGGAAGCTAGCCAGCAGGCAAATTTGATACCAGCTTCTATAGTTGAGAGAAGGAGATGACACAAGTGCAGTAGTTGCTTCCCCAGTGTGAGCAGCAAGTAGCCCAGGACAGTGGTTCTTACAGCTGGGTCTGCTGAGAGTGAGTTTACCAGGTGTAACATTGCTACCATGAGTTTATATTTGAAAAGTATGCAAGCACAATCCATTGATGTAACTTGACATAACTAAAAAGCAATTCAGCTGCTGCATCACTGCCAGATTTGTTACAGAACATAAACTCAAATGCTGCAGACAAGCTCTATGAGTTTGTTGTGTCTTAACAAGCCAGACATGCTACTCACTGGTAGTAGCTCCAAGAGGCTTCCACTAAACACAGAAGGTCACAGGCTTCTAAGTAATGACTTGTGGAACCATTGCCTTAAATATGGTTCAGAATAAATCACTTTGCTTATCAAGTACGTTCCTACTCTTTCCTCTGTTGCAGCAATGCCCAGGCTCCCCCCATTCCTCCTTTTCCCTCTCTATTTTTGGCAATACCCTTTTCATAACTGCTTTCTAAACCAACACCTATTAAACATCCATTCCAGCCTCCCCTTGAACCACCTTTACCATGTGAGTAGATAACTAGTTAGATGGACTTGGCATGCTTGTTACAATCAACTTTGAGCAATTCAGACAGCCTAAACCATATATCTTGGCTTCCTATATTGTATATATCCACAATGGACAGAAACAGTTTCTGGACTCATCTGTCTGCTAATGCCTGGACATCTCCCAGTGATGACTTAGACCTGACAGCCCTGCATAATAAGCTTACACCCCACCTGAACAGTTTTGCTCTGATGAGTTTTAAACACCATGGTAAGTACCAAGGAACAGTATCTTCCTTGGAGTACTGTTCAGCATTTCTATACCCAGCTTTTAAGGACTTTGTCCATCCTCTGAATAACATCTAAAATACTGAGTTAGATGCTCAGGCTTCCAATGCAAGGGATGGGGGAACAGCCACCCAGAAGAGCTGCGTGCTGGGTGAGGAGCAGTTTCAGAGCTTGCCCATGGCCCAGAAACACATCAGATGTTTTCCCTTCCCAGAGACCAGGCTTCAGAGCCAAAGCAGCATAAGTGCCTGGCAGGATCACAACACCCCGCTGGAGGCAGACACCTCTAAACAAAGAGCCTTGCAGATCGTCTTTTTCAAAGGTGGCCAGAGGAGAGGGCTCACACCCACCTTTATGTAATAACCTAAAAAACTGCATTCCTTTCTGCAGCAGGACAGCTGCACAGGGAGGGGTGGAAGGTGCCTCCTGGTGCACTCCCCCAAGAGCTGGGAGCCTGGCCATTCCTCCTCTCCAGCCCAGGAGGTCACTCAATCCAACCCTTCTCCTTGTCTCTCACAGACCATTCTAACCTATAAGAGATCATAGATGAGCCAAACCCTTCCTCTTTGTATGAAAAATCAAAGCACTGACATTTTCTTGCATATGTGGCCAAATCCTGTCAACACGTTTTAGTTCACATGCTGAATCAGGCCCCTGAGGGGACAGAGGTGCTGCTCCACCTACTTTCTGGATGCGAGAACTAGGCATGTGCAGGCTTGGGCACTTCTGTGCATGCAGCGAACTGTCCCTGCCAGTGCCCAGGGACTCTCAGGACAAAAAGAGAGATGCGCAATGAATTTCGGGTCCTTCCACACTTTCAGAAGGACCTGAAATGAGTGGGATTTTGAAAGCACAGCTTTTTATTCTGGCAGTAAAACCTCCATACTGGGGAATTTTAAACAAGAGAAAAGCATTTTAAGGGCACACTGCCATCTACTTCAGGGCAGAATCCTCTGCCAGCATAAGATGGACCATGCTCTATACACGACATTCATAGGTAGACTCCATCATCTCTTTTCTCCAATAGTCCCATCGGAATAAAAGCCTAAGGCTGTGGAAGGGACTTTGTACCTGTTATAAGGCTGATGCCATCTCCTTCTGAAAGTCAGTAGAATCCTGCTCCACAAGTGGTGTCACAACAGAGCTACATTACTCATTGCAAAGAGGAGTGGTAGAGGCTGACATTTAATTAGCTGTGAATATAGTAACAATGGCAAAAGCTGTTTTAGTAAGTACTGTATAGAAATTAAGCCTGCAACAGCATTGAGTAATGTTGTCCTATCACCAGGAATCCATTTTAAAAGCTAAGACAGATGGTAGCAGAATGCACCGTGCCCACTTTCACACCTTTTCAAAGTGATAACTATGTGCTCATTTGGTAGACTGAACTATAAAACTGCTCTCAGTGCAGCGGTACAATATATCATCACAACAAAAGCAGAAATTTAGTACAGTACAAGGAGAGAGAGGGAAAAAAAAAGTAGCATTCTCAGTAACTAATGCAGATCATACCATTGGATGCCACGGTTCGTGTCTGATTTTGGAACGTTTTGGATCGAGTTCCGTATTGCCCTGAAAAATGGCTGGCTTGGGGTGATAATTCATTCCATGCACCGCTCTGTGAAGGATGAAGGCTCGCCTGGGACTCTGCAGGGGGATTCAGGCGCTGGGCCCAGGCTAAGTCTAAATCTTGGGGCTCCTCCTTTAGTTTTTCTCCTTCTTTGCCAACTCGTTGATAGATTCTTCCAGTGCTGTCATTCAGTAATCTTCTCATCCCTGTAATTTGTTTTTTAATTTCCCGGCTTTCATCTCCTAATGAAAACAGAGCCACAGTTATCACTGTAAATTAGCAAAAAGGGTAATGGGTAGAGATTAGAGATTTTAGATGCCAATAAGAGTTGGAGTATTAAAAGAAATAAAGATGAGAAAGAAAAAGAGACGGTTGGGCAGAAGCTGGTATGTTCCAGGCTATGCTTTAACACAGCGATGGTTGACATCTCCCACGGTTGAAAGACCTGCTGAACTTGGCTTTCTTGATGCTGTTTCTAAAGCTTTGATGAGTAAGATTATTTTTTCTGCAGAAGGAAATAATAATAGCTACCGCAGTTTCAAATAAACCATCCTTTTAAGAGACTGATCCTATTCAGCTGTTGACATCCGTGGCTATTTTCCCCAAGTAAAGCCTAAAGGATCAGATCTTCTACATATCAGTTTGCTAAATGCAGAAGGTTAGATCCTACAAAGGAAAAATAAACCACAAAAAGCATCACCCCACACAGACACACAGAACAACACTGTATCTATTGATTTTAATGAGCAGGATCAGTTCCATAGGCCACAGAATTGAATACTACTGGTTTATACAGGAATAAATTAAAAGGCAGCTAATACACATATAACCATATACAGCCTAGGATATACTGCTGGAGGTCTTAAAACTGTGGATTATGAAAACAAAATGAAACTTTAAACAAGAAAAATTTGCCTGTTTCAAGTAAATTCAGGGCATTTAAATAATAACAATTGCATGCTTTAATACTCCTGGCACCATTTAAGTATTAATTTTACATATGGAGCTGCTGATTGCACAATGAATATATGTGTTTTGGGCAGATAGCAGCTATTTCGCTTGTTAAAGCATACATTACATCTCACTAGTAATAAGGAAGTGATCACAGCCCCTTCTGAAATAGGAAGTTTCTATTTTTTTACTGGTAATAGAAAAATCAAACATCCTAAGCAAATGGAATAAGTGGAAGAAATTGCTGAATCAGCCTTTCTTTATAATGCACTTTATACAGTAATACTTGCTATCCTCTACTGAGTTTACATTTGCATGTCCCAAAGTAAACCTATTTTTGGCAAAGCAATAGTGCAAAGGAAACTTCAGAAGGAAATGCCAACCATCCAAAACCCAAGATGCAACATTCATCATAGACTCGTGCAATGGTTTGGGTTGGAAGAGACGTTAAAGCTCATCTAGTTCTAACCGCCTGCCATAGGCAGGGACACTTTCTACTAAAGCAGGTTGCTCCAAGCCCTGTCCAACTCTGATTCAACAAGACATTTGACAGTGTGTTAATGCCAGGCACATGAGCAATTTTATCAACCCAACAGCACTATTCAGTTGTATAAACCTAGAAGCATGCTTAGGTAGCTGGCTGAACCAGGCAGCTAAAGAGCAGCAACCCCCTCCACAACACAGGTCAAGCTCAATGTGGCTGCAAATTGCTGTGCAAGCCCAGCATACCCAGGGAGGCACCTTAAAGAGGGAGGTTTTGCTGTAGGAGGTGAAGCAGCAGAAGGGGACACAAGCTGTACAATCTGCTCCAGCCTCTGCTGAATCAGAGCATCTCCTGCCTGACCCGGTGCACTGGTTCCCTGGGCCAGAGCCAGCTGGCTCCAGCCCACCCTGATCCAGCGGGAAAGTGGGTAGTTTGCAAGAAAGCTTCTAGTACAAGCTTAGAGAAATATGTGTCAACCCTGCACACGATACTCCAGCACTGCTTCCACTCCAGCTACAGCAGCAAGAAACCCCTTTGCAAGGAAGTTCTGCATTGTGTTTGCTTTGTCGGTTTGCCTGTGGATTTGTGTGTGGGTGTGATTTAATTAACAAATCACAGCACCAACTCCTCTAAAATGACACTTTCTGGCCCTGACCCAACTAAGGGTTGACTGTTTGTAGTTCCCAACCTCAAAAAGCCACAGAGTACCACCAGACTCCAATTATTAAGATACTTTACACTGCCTTTCCCCTGTATGTGGCTGTATCTGCCCATATATCCACGCTCCAAACGCTGTTTGCTACAGCAAAGCATGAAGCAATCCCTCACCATCGCATCATTTAGTAGTACACCAAGTTTTATGCTGTCGATTTGGATTTGTATTCAACAGCAAAATGTATCTGAATATCAAACAAGCTTCCCACCCACCTCCTCCTGTCAGTGACTGTGTGCTACGTGGCTGGTCGGGTGACATGTTGTTGGAAAGATTAAATTTCCCTTTCCCAATTACATAAAATATTAATGTTAATTGAGCTTGTTCAGCCTTGATTCTGCTTCCTTGTTCCTCCATATAGAAGTCTTCCCACTGATGAGCACACTTACTTCTAAATAGAAAAAAACCCTACATTTATGTCACAACAAACCCTGAGAGTGCATCCTACATAAGCATGTCTTTGTGTTTAGGTAGCTCCCTACTTAAAACAGGGAGATTCAAACTTCATGAACTTATTTGTTAAGTTTGTTTTTTTTGCTGTGGTTTTTGGTTTTAGGGATTTTTCTGCTTGGGGTTTTTGGTGGTGGTTTTTCTTTGAGTTTTGGGGTTTGTTTGGGGTTTTTTAAATGTCTTCTGTTTTGTAAGGAAGGACATAAAAACCATGCAGGCTGTAACTGTAACCTTGACTTAGTCTTCAATGCAAGTTTACAATCCCCCTCTTGCAATTATGACTTTTAATCTGTAACTGGCCAGTGACAGCAGCATCCTTCCTGACACTGTCTAAATCTGCAGGCAGGTAGGTAGTAGTAACAGATTTAACTTCATGCCCCTTGGTTCTCTCATCTGGCTATTAGCTCTAAAGCCCAATGATAGCATTTTGTCATCAGCTATCATCAGCTGATGATTTTCACACATAATAATCATGTACTTTTAAAAAAAGTAAAAAAAAAAAAAGGAAGATGGGGCACAGAAAAAAACAAAGAGCTCAAGATACTGCGTGTTACAGAGGAACCGGCCTTGCTGTTTAAATGCTGAATAGGATAATCATATAGTTTAATACAGAAAAATCTGCATTGCCTACCTCTAAAAGCCCTCCTGAGATGGATTTTGAGGCCTGAGAGGAGTGGTGCCTATTTCAGCTTCTCCCTGTGCCAGGGGTTCTCACCACTTCCAAGGGAATGGGGACACCTCTGAAGGGCAGACTACATGAGTTGCTATTTGGATTCCCCGCTTAAACCCTCTGGTTTTACCTGAAGCTAATGAAATTACTTGCAAAACACTAGAAGACTTAAAAACTACCACCCAAAATAGATAAGCTTGGCAAATGACAGCCCTATTTAGGAATTTATATGTAAAGATGATAATGGTCATAACAAAAACATATGAACCATGTTTTAAAATGACTATTATAGATGCTTCTATGATGGCCCCTTATATAGAAACTGTTTCTTCCACATGAATAAATGCTTCCACATGTTTCTAAAACAAATAAAAGCAAAGCAAAGCCCTTTCATAAATACTACATTAAATCCACATTAAAAGCCATTTCCCCAAAATTCATTTCATTCTCTTTCCTTACTGAAAGGGATAAAAACTTCCAGCTTTGGAAGTTGTAAAAATGTTTAAAGTTACAAGTGCACAACTGTAAACCAGAACTGCCCTAGGATGAAGCAGCATCCACAGGCTAAGCGTGTACCAGTCTGAAGCAACAGACCTGCAAACAACTCCACTTAACAAAATGTTCTTGATAATTCATTAATTCCCTGCTTTGGCCCTATGTGCCTGACCATATTTTCACAATCATGCTTATTAAGTTTGATACAAATGAAGCACACTGCCTGCAAACAAGTTGTTCTACTTTTGCCAAATAATCTGTCAAGTTATCACAGTGCTACAAAGAATTAGCAAACTATATGCAACCATAACAATATGATAAATATTGATTTTATTCCAGTATTAGAGAGCAGTAACCGCATCGTATTTAATGTGTGTGTTTTAAGTGTATAAATGAGCGCACAGGGCTAAGGTTGGACTATTGTGTGTGTTTGAGGTTTTCTTCCTTTGACTTATATAAACAAATATATGTTCTCCTGGCCCAGTATTTAGCAAATAAGTTCTTTATCTTTTAACATTTATGTTTCTCATATGTTTTGGGAAATATTAATGAGCAGTTGACTTTTTTAATGCATTTTCTGTTGTGTTTGGGCAGATGGAACTCATGCAGAAAGTTTTCCTTTCTTGGTTATACAAACAAGGCTTTTTCCTCCCTCAGGCTGCCTATGGAAGATACTTTCTATCTCAGAGATCTGTATCAAACTAAGCTGAAATTGGTGGACGAGATGAGAAGCTATGGGGAGGGTAGAAACAGCAACAGGCAGCTAGGCAAGCACATGTGAAGTGACAACACTAGCTTGGTTTGTAAGGAAACAAGAAACTCTGAGGTGAGAAACAGTGGAAGTAGAATGCATAATGCTTGAAAGCTCAACAGAAAATAAATAATGGCAATGAGTTATATAATCAAAGATATTAAATGCCAGTTTATTAGATGCCACTTGAATGCTGCCCTTCCTGGACGAGGGCCAGCAAAACTTGGCTGCTGTGTTTGAAGATTTTACAAGGGCTAATTCAGACCAGCTCCAGGAACCAGGAGGCACGTGCATGCAGGGCACACGTCTCTGCTGCACAGCCAGGCTGAACTCACCAAAACACCTTTCTGAATGTTATGCACTGGATGACGACAGGCTGAAAAGTTGGAGCTGTTCAGCCTGGAGAAGAGAAGGCTGCCTGGAGACCTCATAGCAGCCTTCCAGTATCTGAAGGGGGCCTATAGGGATGCTGGGGAGGGACTCTTCATTAGGGACTGTAGTGATAGGACAAGGGGTAACGGGTTAAAACTTAAACAGGGGAAGTTTAGATTGGATATAAGGAAGAAGCTCTTCACTGTGAGGGTGGTGAGGCATTGGAATGGGCTGCCCAGGGAAGCTGTGAATGCTCCATCCCTGGTGGTGTTTAAGGCCAGGTTGAACAGAACCTTGGGTGACATGGTTTAGTGTGAGGTGTCCCTGGCCATGGCAGGGGGGTTGGATCTGGATGAT